TATACTTGAGACCTTAGAACTTATATCTCAAGGTGGGTGGCGCATTTACGTTGTGGATGTCTATGGGCTCCAGTAACCACTTAACACAAGGTGGGCTGTGAGCTCGTCCACCCATCTAAGCAATAAAAAAATAAAATAGCTGAAATACTAGCTAGACCAGCTATTTGGAAGTCTAGCCACCCAAAGTATTTCTCGTACTTCTTGTGGAATTCTCCATCTATAGGTATACTCCGATTCTTATTCAAATCATGTACTTCACAATCTTTTCCAAATAATAGGTCCTGAACCAAAAAACTATTAATTTGTAAGCACTATCGAGATAATTTCGATATAGACATTTCGCTGTCGGACTTCCTTACTAGTCGCGGCGGCGAACGTGAGTACCCGTGGCCTGCAAACGGTGCTGCGCGAATGGTCGCCTCGCCCACCGCTTCGCTGTTCGCACCGCCGATCCCCGTGGCCAGGCCGTAACGTGGGCAGACAGCCAACGAGGTGGACCGATGAACTGGTGAAAGTGGTTGGTAGAGACTGGATGAGAAAGGCAAGAGATCGAAGAGAAAGGGGTGCATTCGAAGAGACCTACACTCAGCATTGGGTGGACACGGATTGAAGAAAAGAAAACCTTTTATTAAATTATATTTGAAAAATAAAATTTGTGTACCTATGTCCCTATGTATGTACATTTTGAAATAATTTTGTGTTAATACCATAGACAATGCACTTAATGTTATTACTATTAACCTGATGAATGACTTTTTTGCGCTGTAATGCCACTTTGGCAAGGATTTGGAATGGATTTATGTTGTCAATAAAACGTATCTTAAATAATAATACGACTTTAATGGATGGATATATTGAACAAAATCGCAGTTCATGCGTTTTGGAGTTTTTCCGGAAGAACGAAAAAATGGAGATTCTATTACAATTTGAATTTTTCATAATATTTTTATTTTCATCTGACACTGTGGTTTCACTTTTCGTATGGAATGGCTTGGGCTGTTCCCGTTGTCTGTTTATAGACAGTATAAAACAATTTTTATTGGAGTTTTTGGTGGGAGAGGGGCGAAGTTGTCTGAATTATTTATTTTGTGAATTTAGTATTTGTTCGGGTTTCAATCTGTTATAACAAAGTCGCCGAATGTGGCTTCTTGTGTTCATCTGGAAACTCTCATTTAATTTCATCCCAATTGATCTGAATTTTAACATCATCAATATCGATATGTCATGTCAGTTAATATTATTATTTTTCATATAACAAAGTATCCTCTCAGTGAAACCTGTAAAAACACTAAATTTAAAAATAAAATGGCTTCTTGCGACGCTATTATTTCTACAACCAAAGTTCATATTTTATTCTTCTATTATTTTAAAATAACGTTCCATGTTTTATGATAAATAAAATGCAGTTGAATTAAATTGAATGATTTATCTGAAATATTGATTGTTGATCTGTTTGATTGTGTCACATTAGTACACTTAAAAATATTACACAATTCATAAGTCGCCATTATTGCCCGTTGAAATCTAAAGAACCACTAGTTTAAAAAAATAAAACAACTAACATGATTTCAGTTCTCTCGTACCAGCCATTTAGCACAATTCTTTTTTTATATTTGAGAGATTACTGGTGGCCCGGAGGCCTTTCCAGTTTCACCAGGACAGGCGAGCGAGCAAAGGCTCAGCCAGGAGGCGTGTGATTTGCTAACAGCTACCCGAGCGTGTCCAAAGGAGACCCAACAACTCAAGAGTAACTGCTTCGCGAATGAAAGCACAGCTCGAGTTAAGTCGAGTTAATCAACTCTACTCTAAAGTGCTGTTTGTGGTACAAAGTCGTGAATATCGAGGAAGTGATTTTGTTTTATTTTGTCTATTTAGTTTTTCTTCAGGTTTAAATGTGTAATAACGGTGGTTTATTAACTGTTTAATATCTGTGAAAGTGCACAAATGAGAGAAAATGACACAAAGTCGCTGGACGTAACTTCTCGGGATCCTCCAAAAAGTCCACTGAAAAAATCTCAGTAAATGTCCACCATTTTACTGATATTTCATCCCATATTATCTCATCTCATTTCGTTTAATTTTATCCCAGTTCATTAATGTTTCAATTTAATTATCTTCATTTCAATTGATTTCACTCCATATTATCATTTTTCATAAAAATAAGAATATATATTAAAATAAGACATGACTTAAAGGTCACCAGGCCATAAAATCCCTTTAAAAAAATCAAGTGTATTATCTATGGTACAAAGTGCAAAATGCCAACGAAACGATCGGGCATGTTTAAGTAAGAATAAGTAAAAATAAATACGTACACATGTATTAAATATTAACATTTAAGAATTATGTGTATTGCATTGACTTTTTAAAATAAATACATAAGTAAACATGGCTGAAATTTTAAAAGGATTATTATTAGGGGTGTTGTCTCAAAAGTGTTACAACGAATACTTTCTAAAGTACAATTTTCTTGATGGTAATTACTATTCTCATGTAGATAATTGTATGGTAAGCTATTTTTTTTAATCCGGATTAATGTTTTCCAGTACCATGTTTCAAATCCACACTCAGCAAAGGTCTCGGAATCGGCATTATTCTAGGATCCATACTGGTAAAAGTGCCACAAATTTTCAAAATTTTACAAAGTAAGAGTGCCGATGGAATCAATATTTATGGAGTTTATCTGGAGTTGTTTGCTATCACTGCGAACTTTGCTTATAGCTATGTAATGGGTTTCCCATTCAGGTATAAACAAATAAACATTATTTAGTTTTTTTTAGTGTGGCTAGTAAAAGTAGGTACATACTTAGTAAAAAATTAAAAATAATGAATTTTATTTCATATAAACAGTGTGAATCAAAAATTTAATAACTCATTTTAGTACTGATTTTTTATTAATTCAATGTTTAATTTTTATTTTTAGTGCATGGGGTGAAGGAACATTTTTAGCCATCCAAACGGCAATGATAGCAGCTTTAGTACTCCACTATGGTGGCGCTCCAATGAAGGGCGGAATATTTCTGTCTGTTTACTGTGCAATAGTCTCAGTTTTAGTAAGTGGTTATACCTCCACTGATATATTATGGACCATGCAGGCTGTCACTGTTCCTATCATTCTCATAGCCAAGGTTAGTTCAATAACATTAATTAAATTATGTGCAAGCAAAAATGTAATTTTATTATAAAAGCATAAAATATTATTTTTTTCAGTCAATCCAAATAGGAACGAACTACAAAAATGGCAGCACTGGTCAACTGTCGTTTATAACCTGCTTTCTGTTGTTTGGAGGTAGTGTAGCAAGAATCTTCACATCAATTCAAGAAACTGGAGACTCCATTATTATTCTGACCTACTGTGTTTCAACCATTGCCAATGGTGCTATTGTTTTACAAATGTTGTGGTACTGGAATGTTGAAAAGACAATTAAAGTAAAAGGCAAGAAAAAACCAAAGCGTGCTTAACACAATGGGTATTTCACCTTACAACTCCCTTATAATTTAGCTGTAAAAATAAAATAAAGACATATTTAATTCAATTCCTTTTATTATCTTCATTACCATGAATCCTGTTTTGAATACTGATGTTATTGTTTGTTATACCTATGTATTATTATCATTGTTATGTGTCTGAACTTTGTATGCCCTTGTGGGTCATTGATTATGTATTTTGAGAATCCATAAGTAAAGGTCGCTTGTGACTGCAGATGGTAGAGGTTGAGCAATGACATCAACCCCTTTTACCAGAAAACCATTCTCATATTCCGCCCTTGCATTCGAATATGGTAAATACTTTTATGCTCTACAGTAAGAACTGGGAATTCAAACAGCTAATGGTGTTTAAGAAAATAATGTAATAAGCCCAGAATAGACACCATAAAGTGAATGTTGTTGTCTGCATAGGTTGCAGTTATAATGATATTGATACAATTAAAATTGTATATTATGTCCTATCATCCTTGTATTTATAAGATGTGACCTTATTTTAACTCACGAGGCCAAGTAACATACTTTGAATGGACATTGTGTTTGTAATTAAAAATACTTGAAAAATTCAATCTAGCATTTATTATTATCATTTTTTTTCTTTCTATATCAATAGTTTTCGTGATCACGAACGACTGTGTTATTTATTCGTCGACATTTAAATATTTTACTAGCATAAAATTTAAAAATAATCTTTACAGCATCATTTTTTGCATACAGAAAAATCTAGTAATATCTTGAAGTCTGGTGGTTAGTTTTGGGTTTTCATACTATACAGGTTTAAAAGTATCTGTATAGCAACAATAGTCTCTACATCTAGGACTTACGGATATTGAGTAAAATCGAACTTGCGTGTAGCAGCGTACCTTACCCAGAAATAGGCATTAAAGTATTGGTACCACATTTTAACTGAAAATAAGTCAAATCTGCTTCTCAAATTTGTTCAACCCAGCTTTGCTCATTTTACTTGTACTTGATTTTGTAAATTGTTCTTTCAAATTTCATTACTAATAACAGTAGTGCAATATATAATTTACGGATACCGAAATTCTAATAGGATCAGTTATCGCCATTGCCACCGCGGAAGAAAATATTGACCATAATCCATATTATCTAAACTTATAAAAATGGCATATAGAGAAAATAAAACACATTAATACACATATTACATTTATTTAAAAGGTGCAACCATGTATTCAACAGAACATTTTACTACAGTACCTAAGTTCCTAAACGCTTTTTTCGTTTTGGAATGATAGTGTTATTTCTTATACTTCAGTTTCTGTTTACGTTATAATTCAAATGTCATCTATATTTACAAGTAAACGATTACAAATAAAGGTTTCGAATCAGAGTACACACAGTGTCTTTCACAAAGTTTAACACTTTTTTTTGTTAATATTAAGAAATTGGCTTACAATCAAAAAATGGCTAAATCTACATTCAGCACCCAATCCAGTTCTACAATCCGAATAACCTACAACTAACATTTGGTGCAAAGAATACTAGGATTACTCTTTAGATTCTTCTGGGGCCTTTTCTTCTTGTTGGGTGTTTCTTTCTGGTTCGTTTCCATCCGCCCATTTTCCGTCGTATTCTTTCCTATCGACGTATCTTTCTTCTTCATATTCACCCTCACTGCGATGGCTGTCACGTTCGGCAGAGAAGCGAGAATAACTGCAAATTGTAGTAACATACACCATTATAATTAGTTTTCATGAAAAATAATGTCTGTACTAATTAATAATAATTTTCGATATGAAGCTCTTATTGTAATATTTATAGTTTCGCAAGTTTTGTTTTATTATTTCCTTAGAGATTTAAAAATGAAACTCACCTATCTCTATCTTTATCGCGTCTCTCCGGACTGTAGGATCGGGAACGGCGCGTCCTGTCAGGACTGCGCGATCGCGAATATCGTCCTCTACGATCGCGGAAATCGCGGAAACCACCACCACCCCTGTGAATGTTTCTAATGTCAGTTTTCATGAAAAAAAATTCATAAGCTGTTTAATTGAGGTATCCTTTTTAAGCGAGAGAAAGACCTTGTGGCTTATCAGGTGTTAAGTAGTTACCAGAGCCCAGACATAATAACGCAAATGTCTGTCCCATCCTTCAAACCAGAATGTGTGAATAGTTTACTTGAAGAATAAGTAGAATGGGTTGATACCTACCCATGTGGACATACAACCAGTAAGTTTACCTTCTATGTAAAATTAAATATTTATGTGAATGGCGACACCGAAATGTGGCTTCCAGAAAGGTGGAAGTTATAGGATAGGAACCCATAGGATGCGGTCAGCAGAAGACCAGTTAGTTGTATGACGAGCCTTAGGGGGAGCTATCCATCTACAGACCTTCTTGAAAAATACTTAAAATTATAAGCAATTATAATTGACATATTTATTACTTACCTAAAGGGGCGTCCCCTACCACCACCTCCTCTACGCGGCCTGAAGGGTCTTCCGCCGCGGTTCCTATTGTCTCGCCACTGGTCCGGGAATCTACGGCCGTCGTCGCGACGGAAGTCGCCACGTCCGCGACCACGAGGACCGCCGTTATAAGCGTTGAATCGCGGCCGGTAGTACGTGCCTCTTTCAAAGCCTCCCCTGCCACGCCAATTACCCCGACGACCAATTCGACGGTTGTACCTATTTCAATATTAATTGATAGTTTAATAAATTTGAAATTACATTCTTTTAATATGAATCATATTGTTCAGAGACTGGCAAGGGCAATTTATATATGTACTGTCATTTACATTAGAATTTTATCTGACAAAGTTTTTTAGAACATGCTAATTGCCTATTTTCAAAAGATATCTGATGGTTGCAACTTTCAATACAAAAAGTTCTCGTTTGATGAAAGACAACATCTTTCGTTAAGAAATAATTAAATTACCTCTCCCTGGACCCAGATCTTGATCTCGAACGACTGTAGAATGATCTCGAGGCATCAGATCTGGACCGAGATCGTGGAGAAGCGGACCGGCGACGCCTAGACGGCACTGAGCCACTTGCGCTGGAACCTGAGCGTGACCGCGAACGAGATCTCGTGCGATACTTGCGAGGGCGAGACCTATGCATTTACGTATTCAAAATTTTAATTTGATTATATTTAATAGATGAACCCAGGGCCCACCTGTTTAATAGTTACCGGAGCATGATGACGAAGTCTCAATGCTGTTATATAACGGTTATATGTGGGTTCACAATACGCTACCAGTATATTTACCAGTAATTAGGTAAAATTATAAATTAAACGAGTTTGATATATTTTGTTGTTTGATTATACGATGTCGTGAAGTCGTTAGTGAACACACAGAGCATACATATTTGCATTAGGTATAGTCGCACCGCTTACATTTAAGCACATTAGACTTATCTTTTAAGGCCTCAACAACCTCTACATATTACTATGTATAGAATAAGAGTTCCGAAAAAGTTTTCAATATTTCTTCCATAGCACTAAATAAATAAGAAAAAGCAAAGTTTGCGTTCTCATAGTGTTATGGGAAAGAATAATAGATGTATGAATTCGAGACCTGGATGTTTGTTTACTACTAAATACTTATTAATCAGGGATTATACCTAAAAATGAGGTCAATGTAAGAGTAAGCAGAACACATACCTGCTTCTGGAACGTTTGGGAGATCTCCGATCGTCGTCGGATGAGTGCGAAGAGCGTCGTCGCGGTGAGGGCGGAGAGCGCGGGCGACGAGCGGACGGCGATGGCGGCTTGATGCGCGTCACGAATTGTTCTGGACGACCGTCGCCTACAGACACCGGAGTCTCGCCCTCACGAGCCAGACGGAATGACCCAAACTTGTCCAATACTATTTTTCCTTTACGTACCTGGCAATATAATTATTCATTGATCACACTTTGGCTTTGATTTTTTATTTTTTTTATTGCTTTTAGATGGGTGGACGACCTCACAGCCCACCTGGAGTTAAGTGGTTACTGGAGCCCATAGACATTTACAACGTAAATGCGCCACCCACCTTGAGATATAAGTTCTAAGGTCTCAGTATAGTTACAGAGGCTGCCCCACCCTTCCGGCCGAAACGCATTACTGCTTCACGGCAGAAATAGGCGGGGCGGTGGTACCTTCCCGTGCGGATTCACAAGAGATCTTACCACCTATAAAATTATTTTTATCGGTATTTAGGCGAAGCAGTATAACAATTAGCATTTCAATACATTAAAGTAGCCCATATCGCCAAGCAACACCTGCTAGAACCTTAGGATGTGTGTTAGAGACTGCTAATTTCCCTTCTTACTGATTACATCTGTTAAGGTGTTTATTATTACCGTGGGGTGGTGTGTGGTATCGGCGGGCGGTGGGGCAGCGGGCAGTGGCGGAGGTTCTTTCATGGCCATGGCGCGACGTACTGATACATTCTTGTCGCCGCTCGATTCCTGCATCTGCACCATATCCAATCTCGAATATATTCATATAATTTTTTCAATTTGCCCATGTTACCTTCTTTAATTTCGAACAACATAATGTCTACTGTGGCATACTTATTGTAAACAATTCCATTATTATGCGAGAGATAAGTTAGGATTGATGTACGGTTATACAATGAGACTACTATTCTCGAATACTGCCCTCACCATGAATGCCAGCAGAATGTGAATTTCATTGAAACTTAAAAAGAAAACACATTTTTTTGCAAACATCAGAACAGATTCCTTACTCGCCCCCAACAAGTTTAACACAGTATGGAGTGATGTCAGTATTTGTTGACTACATTTAAACAATATACTTGTACTGTAAGCGTAACATCATTTGCATTCCAATATCACAACATTATTTACCTTCGAGTTTTCGTGGGAATCATCAGAGCTGTCTTCAAATGCATATTTTTCTTTATATCCTCCCTTCGGTGCAGAGTTTTCTTTTTTCTTTGGCCTACTGAAAAATTAAACTTTTAATTGTGTTTTTTATTCTGCCACATCTACCGGAAAGTGGTTATTAGAGATAAAATTTAATTAAATAATTAATAATATATGCAAGAAAACAATACTCACATTTCCTTTACAGCATTCATAGACATTTTCCACTTAGGCTTGTCGAGAGGTGGTGGCGGCACTTGGTCGAGACTGGGTGATCTTGCATCTCGTTTCCCTAGTACCTCCTTTTCAACCATCACATGATACGCGCTTAATTTTGATTCTAGCTCTTCTAATCCTTGCATTTCTTCCATAATTCTGGTAAATGTTAAATTTAAATGTTAAGATTAAGGAGTGTCAAACAATTATACAATATTGGTGCCTATATAAAAATAAACCACTTTCAGTTGTATAAATATTATTTGTGGGACAACTCTCCTAGTTTTAAAGAAATCCATAAAATAAAATTGTTGTTAGTTAATTTAAACAAAATGCATGAATAAATGCTTGGAGAGTTACTAACCTACTGTCCTTATGCTTTCTATCATACTCTCCATCAGAACTATGGTCTCTCTTGGACTTGCTTTTCAATTCTTTCCTGTAAAAAAGTATAAATATTTTTAGAAACCATTGTCCCAACTAATGCATCTAAATTATTTAAATAAAACTTGTTTTATCAATGTAAACTTTACATAATATAATAATTTACAATTTCATATAATAACATACCTCAAAGCATCTCTAAGTTTCTTGTCACCAATATTTTCAATTTCCTGCATCGTGTATTCAGAATTGTTTGTGTTTCGTGCCAATTTAGCCTTTCTCTTATCTTCTTTTTCTTGTTCTTTGCGTTTCCTTTTGGATTCTTTCTTCTTTTTCCTTTAGACAATTAATTTTATTTTATGTATCTTTTACTTCGTCAAAGTATAGGAATTTTGCATAGTCTATTTCAATTACATTATAAGCAAACGAGCTGAATTTTATAGTAACCATACTTGGCTATTATAAACATCCTTAAGGAATGTGAATAAAAATAAGGGTTTTTCGCAATATTATTATAATACAGATACTATCAATGAAAAAAATTGCTGCCATTACTGAGTCAATTAACGAATTCACTATTCAGTAATCATAACTAGTGAAAGGAAATATTATTAATTGATACATTTTATAATTGTTTTTGTATTATGTTTAGTATGTAATAAATAGCCCGATAATGTTCCACAAGTACCCTGTATATGACACACTTATTTTAGACACTCGTGTCAGTTTTAGAATAGGCAATCGCCAGTCCTTGCAGTTTTTTTTTTAATATACTCATGAAAAAAGTTACGTCTTTTATTACTTGTCTGTATTCTGATTTTTATGATTCATCAGTAGGGCAGTTTTCGTTAAATTTTATTGTAAATTCAAAGCCCCAGTTAATTTTTCTGATGCTTTTTTTAGTCATGCCTGAAGTTATAAAAAAAGAGAACATACTTGTCTTTTTTCTTCTTCTTTTTCTTTTCTTGTTCAGGCATTGGAGGCTGTTGTTGTTGGCCAAGTTCTTGCATCTTGCGGTTACGTTTGTATTGCGTTGTTTCAGCGAGGAAGTTACGAACTTTTTCTTCATAGTCTGAATCTTCTTTGGTCATCTCGAGGAACTTGCGCACCTATCGAATTATATGAAGATTAAAATTTAATATTATCTTACTTTGCTATGAAGCCATATGTAGCAAAAAAAAATTTTTTACAGTCTGATGCAATCTTAAGAACACCTATCTGGTGAATATAGATCCCTACTGTATTAGCATAAGCTGTAGATGGTAAATAACGATTTGGTCCATTCGATCAAAACTAAAACATCGAACTATTTATACTGGAATCAAACAGTCTAATCAGGTTTTTTTTCATTCTTTTACTTGACTTAGTTGCAACTAGGAAACTTACTATTCCTCTATTGTTAAATGAATATAAATAAATTTACTTAAATTTTTTACGTTCAGTTCAATTTTGATGTAAAAAAAAAAACCCAGTTTTATTTTTACCCAGAACCTAAAAGCATATCACCGGTATAATATTGATCAAATAATTGAATGCAATCGGACCTTCAACTCATAGTCAATATCAGCCTGAGACCGCGGCGGTGGCTGGGCGGCGATGTCGTCCGCGGTTTGCACTGGAGGTTGATATCCGTACGGATGGTTGAATTGCGAATTGTGAGTCCGAGATGTAGAATCACCATCACCGAGCATCGCCATGCGCTTGCTCAGCGGTGACAGAGAGCGCTGCCTTTTGTTGTTGGATTGAGAACGACGCTTCTTCTTCCGAGGACTTTCTGAATCTGTTAATTAGGAAGATGGAATGCTAAAAAATATGAATACAATGAATTTTACACACGAATGAAATTGTGCATAAAACAATAAGGGATTACAAACAAATAACAAATATGATGAGTGATTGTGATTATGTAACTTCTGTCATTTCTACTAATGGGCGAGATAGTATATAATATTAAAATCGCAACTTAGGCATTACAGTGATCTCAATTTGTGATGTCTATAAGCTACTTTTTTTTTTTTTCCCCTACCTAAGCTGATAGCCTTAGGGGCTATTTCAGCGTAACCGTAACTAGTAGGTGAGCTCACGGGGCTCAAACCTGACGACGATGCTTACACGAACCCTACCAAGAGCCGTGCTTCGCAGAATCTACCACCGGATCGGAAACGCGACCCACTGAGAAGATCCGGCGAGAAACTCAGTGGGCTGTGTCTGAGAGTTAATTTACTCGTCGAGCTCTTCGTCGCAAGCGACGGGTTCGACGAGAACGGTGACCGGTGCTTGAAGTACCTAAAAGCACCGTTAGTGGATCGGGAGGATCCGAGATGACGTGTTTTGGGCGACGTCGACTGCTTTCCATTCTGTCCGCAGGATCGGGAATG